ATCCCCCATCACGGTTTTCAGTTGATCCATTGTTGCCGTGGGCTTGTGTTTCACCAGCTCAGCAAGTGCTCTGCATTTGAACAGAAAATGAAAGACACAGCAAGAAAAAGTTTAATGACAGAAAGAAAAATTAAGACAATAAGAATATCAGTGCCATCATTTAAGATTATGAATCTTGTGGGACACCATGGTACACACCTGTAATCCCAGCAGTTCAGGAGGCTGAAGCAGAAGGACCTCAGTTCAAAGCCAGCCTCAGCAACTTAGCGAGGTAGTAAGCAACTCAGCAAGACCCTGTCTCTTAATAAAATATAAGAGAGCACTGGGGATATGGATCAATGGTTAAGCACCCCTGGTTCAATCTTCAGTACCAAAAAAAGATTATAGATCTTGGAGCCAGGCAGCTCTGGGTTTGAGCTCAGGCAAACCATTCTAACCTCATGTGAGGATAATAAAATCCACTTCACTAGGGTTGGTGGGAGGATCAAATAAGATAATCAGTGCAAATCACTCAATGTTTTACATAGTTTCAGTAGATCTCCAGAAAGTATATGTCATAGCATTTAGACGTTCAAATTGTAGAAGTTATGTCACATTGACTTTTACAGATATTAAAGGGTTTTAAATAATCCCTAAATTTTTAATGACCTTGAATTTCTTTAAAATCTTTTCTCTAAAAATCTTGAAAGTTGGTCTGTGAAATTTGTCCTATTAAAGGTTAATTATGGGGAGTTTACAAGAGTTAAGACTGTCCAAACAAGTGTAAGGTGGTGGTTCTCCTTCATTGACATCTGAAAAGACAATAGAAATACAAGGTATGTTGTGTGGGAGTAATAAGTTTTGTAATATTATTTTTTAACTCTGGATCATGATTACAGGCCACCAGAGATGACAGCAACTTTCTCTTGCTAAAGTTCATGCTATTCTCACCCTGTGCATTGAGGAGTAAAGCTTCAATTGTCATTCTCAAAAGTCACATACAGGGTTTTGTCTCACCTGTGGAGTCACTCTAGAACATATGGAATACTCTTCATGCCTAGAAATAAACCCCCCTGTGATTTATACAATTAATTTGCTCTGGACACAAATTCATCAGTTAAATGTTCAGCCTTTTCTACTGGACCTGGTCTATGATCTTATTCTACTATGGTTTTCATCCAAAATATCACTATGATGCAGGTAAGAGTCTAATATAGTTTTTGCCCTCGAAGGGGAAAAAGCCGTTCATTTTTTTCTTGACAATTGTATTGGCTTAATAAGGCCAATATCTAAGTACTTTCCTCTGAGGAATATAATCATTACATGAGACAGTTTGCTCCTTTTAATTAACAGTTCTCATTATCAAGACTGCAAACATGTGATAATAAAATACTGCTCACATTTGTTTCTTGATTTGTTGTTCAGTCTCTAGAAGTGTGCCTATATCTGCATGGAAGGTGAATGTTTCAGCATTAAATTCTTTGGGAGCATATGTGTCATCAACTTGCAGAGCGGAAAAGCATACCCACTTGTTAAGGAAGGACTCAGAGCAGCATTTGGTGACTCTCTCACTCACTGGATTCTTCTCATGCATTACACACTCAATGAATTCCGGACTGCAGACAGCTGAAGAACAGGAAGGAAAGCAGAAATTCAAAAGAGGTAAAATTGAAGGTTTTCCATGAACACTCATTTTCCCATGCACTCAAAGAAGTGACATATCAAACTACTAACAATGAATCCAAAGGAAGCAAATGACTATTTTTGGAACTTAACATTAGGGACTCTTTAAAGTTGTCTCTTTTGTAAGTAAGTCTACATATGAAGAGTAATATGAGAAAATAATTCATCAAAATAATTGGAGATATGTCCTGGTATCTGTGTTAGAATAGAGAAGAAGGAGTCTTATACTGGCATATGAAACTGAGACCCCAAAGAAAGTAAAAATTTAGAAAATACCAGAAGACTGAAAACTCATGGATCCTTTTTAAAAAATAAGTTTAAGTTTTGAGATCTTACCTAAATTCTAACTTTGGTAGTCAGGATAATATAGGTGACCAAGTTCTGACTGCCACCACCACACACAAAAATACTTACACACAGATACATTCCTGTTAGTCAAGTTCACACGTTAGTCCACTCCTGCCTCTGAAAGGTAGCTTTGTCAATTTCATAAGATGAGAAATCAGTATTAAAATTATTACATTTGAAAAGACTCACATAGTCTTCAGTACAGGGCATTCTGTGTTTTTCAGACAGCTTACAGTATTTGTTGGACACTCTTCCTAAGTTTCTTGAAGCCTCTACAAGAGTTGGAGTTGACACCTGGGGTGTTTTCTGAGTGTAACAAATTAAAAGTCTGTTGGGGAAAAAAAAAGTCCATGTGTGTTTAGCCAAACAAGAAACTGTCTTTTTCTAATACAGTATATCAAGCAGAGAAAATTCAAACAAAACTAAAATCAACTAATGTGTTCTTATTTATTAATCATAGAATTATGTTTGTCTAAGTCAAGTGCAGTTATTCAAGACAGCTGCTCAGGAGGCTGAGGCAGGAGAATTACAATTTTGAGGTCAGCTTCAGTACTTTAGTGAGAGCCTAAACAACTTAGCAAAACTCTGTCTCAAAAAAAAAAAATTTTAAAGAATAGGGTTGTAGCTCAGTGGTAAAGCTCCCCAGCATTCAATCCTCAGTACCTGCTACCAAAAATTATCTTCATTTTCAGGATGATGGCTTAGTGTCAGAAAAAGACTTTATCCTGACCAATTATTAAACATGGCTTAGAATACCACCTGTACCATATAATCTCAGGAAGGTTAGCTACTTTATTATAATCCAGTGGCATTAGAATACTTATTATTGCATCTTTGTTTCATTAAATTTAGAGTATAACATAAATCAGGACTATGATAAATTTGAAAGATGTAGGTGAAAAATGGGAGGAAATATACCTGCCTCAATAGGAATGGTGCAAGGATTAAACTGAAAGTGATAATATAGGCAATGAACAAGGCATGTTATCCAGCATGTAAGAATCACTTATAAAGAATCCCAACCACCATGTAAAGTCAATGTAAGACTGTAATCTACTTGATAGAAGAATCTATGTATTATTCACTATTGTTAACCCTGAGCTATAGTTAAAAGAGTGCTAACTACGTATATAAACTGCACAATAAATTCCTACTGAACCATGTGTCCCTTCTTCTTTCTTGCCCTTTCTTGCATACATAATGGCTTATTAAATGGGGACCTTACTTCAGCATGCACTTTTGTCTCTCTCTCTTCTAGGGAGGGAAATTCCACAGGAAAACAAAGTCATGACCATCAAAGTCTAATGTATCTTCTGAACATCCATTCTTCCCACCAATAGACCAATAGGATTGTAATTTCCCATATTAGCTAAGTCCATATTTTTGTCATGTTTTTGTGTTCAGCTTTTATATTACTTCTTAAACTACTGCTATTCAAGGACTACTACTTCCTGCTCTGTAAAATGCTGCTAGGGTTCATTTACTCACAAACTATCCCTTAATCTTCAAGGAACACCTCCAGTGGATGAGCCAATGTTTGTCACTAACCCTCCCAGCCTACATATTCCCAGCCTCAAGACCATTTTTAAAAACTGTACATAAATATAGTCCTCTGCATCCCATTGACTATATTTTCTCTACTCTCCAGACTTTCTTGATAAAGAGAGGTTAGAAATACATGTGTATCTTTGCTATTAAAAGTCATATGCTAGGCAGCCTATATATGAAGTATTAAATAATAGCAAATTGATCAAGAAAAAAAGTCAGCGAATAAACAAAAATAAGCATTTTGGAATTTATATTCTCCAACCTGCTCATAGAGATCACAGCTTTGCTTGACTGAGGCTCAGTCACAAGAGGCTCAAATTCCTCAAACTGGAACATAAAAGAATCCATTTATATATCCTTCTGAGGACCAGATGCTGGTCATTTTTTACCCCTTCCTTTTTCCAAAGCCACATGAATAGATGTTCAGTGCCACATTTATCACATCACATCAAATTGTTTCTCTTATTTAAAAAGACTGTATAGTCAATGTAGTTAAGAATCTTCAGTCTCTAGAGTTCAGTGGCTGGCTTTGGAGCCAGGACACCTGACTCATTTTCCAGTGGTGCAGCTTTACTTACCAGTTCTAAGATTCAGAATCCTCATCTTCACAATAGAGGTAAAAATAGTGCTCACCGCCCAGAATTGCTCTGGGAATCAACTAAGCTAATGAAATTAAAATAGTACCTAGTACATAGTAAAAGGCCAATAAATGTTGGTAATGAGTATTATTATTATTATTATTATTATTATTATTATTATTATTATTATTATTATTATTATTATTATTATATCTCTCCAGTTGGATCCTCAGCTCTTTGAGGAATGTTGCTCTTAGCATCAGTTGCAGGACGGTGCCTGGCATACAGCAGCTTCCTGGTAGAGGAAAGAAAGTCTTTCTCTGATTCTGTAACAGTTTGGAAACCTTTAATATATATAGTAGGCACCCTAAAATCCTCCATAGCAGGTGTATTCTAACTTATCATCTTGTAAAACATTTCCTAAACCTTCTCAAAAAGATTTTAAAATATTCTAAAGAAATAAGTTTCATAACCTCCCTTAAGATAGTATCTCCAGTACTTGATATAATCTTGGGTCAGGTTAACTTTCTTCATATCTAAATTATATCTCTTTTAATTGACATTTAAATTTACCTGACCTTATTTGGTTCTCAGGAATATGGAAAACAAAGAAATGATGGCCAAGATTTTGTGAAATTAGAGATTACTGTCTTCATATCTTTCTTTTCTAGACCAACTGTTCTAAAATTTATTAACCATTCTATTTAAGGCTATTTTCCTAAAATGTTTAAGAGCACAGAATTGAATCCATCTCAAGAAAAGATCTAAATTGTACTGTGTATCATTTCAGTCTTGTATTGTTTTTCTTTCTCATTATTAGAATTAACAAAGAGCTGTATTCTTCTTTTCCTGCAGGACACCTACCACATTGCCATAGCATGCAGGAGGATCAGCTTCAGCACAGCACTTCTCTAGTTTGGCTTCATAAACCTTGGCAATTCTCAGCAGCAAGAGGGAACCATACTCAGGGTGCCTTCTTGAATATTCATGCATAAACCTAAATAAGAGAAACATAGATTTAGTTGAACCAATGAGAAAGAATATGTACTTAACTCACTCCAAGATTAATTCATCTCCCCAGGGTCTGAATTTGACAAATCCCCATGCAGTGAAGTTTAGTGGCAAAAGACTTGGATTCCTTCTTGGGCCCAATTTCTGGTTCTGCCACTTATTTTACTCTATTACATTAGGCAACTTATTAAAACTAAAGTGCCTCAGTTTCCTCCTCTGTAGATTGGGAATGATAATAATATTCATCTCGTGTGTTGGATTATGAGAAGAAATACATGACACAATGTGTGTAAAACATATACTGCCTGACACATCTTAAATATATCATATATCCTAACTGTCATTTTTATGTATTTTATAGTTTGATTTGTATTATATCTCAAAAGTATTGTCTTAGACAGAGATATATTCTTTTTCCTCTTTATATCATTGAAATCTTATATGATACATCATTTTAGTAAATATAATTTAGTGCAAAAGTAGCTAGTGTAATCCAACAATAAAACTGTAAAACTTATCATCATTCTTACTGATCATATATAATCATTTGTTATTTAACTGTCTTGTCATACTACTGAACTTTTAGCCTTTTCATCCAAGTATGAAACTCCTAGTGTCATATTCTATACTTCATTTTATATATCTTTGCTGTCAACACACAGATGGATAGATAGAGATAGATGAGTAGATAGATGATTGATAGGCAATATAAGTTCATATATATTTTAGATATTTAAGAAGTACCCTTTTAATGAATGATTGAACAAATAAATGTTATATACATAATTTGTATACATAAAAAAATATTCCTATAAATATTTCTAGCAATGTTCCTAAGGAGTAAGGAACATTGAACTTTTACCATGAATATTTACTGAATGATAGTGTCTGAAATTATTTAATTTTTTTAACCTTTAAAGACTGGGAAACAATGGGTCAAAGAAGCATCCTGGGCAACATGGAAACTATAGTAACTCAAAAGGAAAGCCTAGCATATCTTCAAAAATCATGATCTTCCTAAATCAAGAGCTATGAAAGGCTAATTCCTAATCTAACTTACGTGCCCAAGAAGATATCTTTTTGCCTCAGCATAGTTTTTGCAAACATCCTTACCCTCAGCAAAATCAACTGTGACTGCGGGAAAGTCAACAGGCTTGTCATCCTCTTCCAGTTCAGCAATGCAGTGGGATCTTTCCAACTCCTGCTTAGCACAACATTCTCCCACTTTCTTGGAGACTGTATCTTGATTATCGTAAATGTACTTGAAAAGGGTTACCTGTGAGGAGGTCAACATTTTTCAACATAAATTGGCATTGCTACACTTTCTCTCCAGACTTTGATGTGGCAGAACACATTCACTGTATTCAATCATTCACAACCAATTTGTCTTCTATGAACACATATCCTCTGTCAGTAATTTCTGAGGCTCTAAGCTACTAAAACACACCTACTTGATCAAAATACACTAGTTAGGAACCAGTTATCATTTGTTTGTTTTATAATTAATTAATCTCAGCTATTTATTAATTTTATATTCCTACTGTTGAGGCATTTGTTTTTTAAATTAAAACTCCATGCTACTTTTTCAAATATTTCCCTCAAAGTAAATGCAGGCATTTTGAAACCAAATAACTAAGTAAAGCATGAAAGATTTTTAACAAATGAGTCAAGATAACAATCATGAGTTTTGCTTATATGTGTAGAATATCTGTCTTAAATTTCTTAAAATCTGAAAGCTCAAGATTCTGATATATGGTTATTATTTTTAATCTTTGAAGAAAGAGAGACAATACTACAAATTTGGGGAAAGAGATCATGTTTGGGAAAACACTTAATGAAAGGAGACAACATAGGGGGGAAAATGCATCCTTTTCAAAGGTCTCTTGAGAAAAATGGCCCTTCTCCAATCCAACCTTCCCCAATCACAAATATGTTAGCAACCAGCTGGTCTCCTTCACTTTCAGCCTAGATTCTCAGAATATGACCGAAAAAGATTACAAATGTGTGAAAGAGTTTTTCAGGTCATTTAGTAATTAGGATAGTAGGGTTTACAAGAAAGTACCATAAGAGAAAGGAAAGCTTGGAGAGGAGCAAATGAAAGCCCAGAAGACCACGTAAACCACAGCCAGTTGTCTCCAGTGATGCTAAGTACATCTATTCTACCCACTTAAGAATGTAAGCTAAAAAAGGAAAATTAATGGCTCTTTACCCTGTCATGTGCACATTCAATCTGATCACCCTTGCAGGATTCCATGTGGATTTTGTTAAGATCTGCTGCCATCTTGGTTATGTCAGTAAAGTCAGCTTTGGGAAATCTCTGGCTTAGAAGAGCTACTTCCCTGAAAAGGAAATCCCCCCATCAATATATTATTATCAGGCAATGTGAAAGCCCTATGAAAATGCTATTTATAACAAAAAAAAAATTCAAAACAGACTAACCTATAGAAAAAATTTTAAATTCACTTGTTATTTTAATGTTAGAGCTGAACCAAATGGTGATCTTTTTTTTTTTCCTTGTTTACTTCAAATTATCCTTTGTAAGAGTGTGTGGTGGGGGCTGGTGTTGTGGCTAAGTGGTAGAGCGCTTGCCTAGGACAAGTGAATCCCTGGGTTCGGTTCTCAGCACCACATATAAATAAATTAAATAAAAGTCTACTGACAATTCAAAAAATATTATAAGAAAAAAATTTTAAAAAATAATGTGTGGTAAGTGGAAAGCTGATGATGTATAAAATCAACAATCAAAGAGGAATGCTGAAAGGGGCAACAGTATGAGGGGCATGAGGTACGGAGCCTAGCTCTGACTTCCAGATCTGATTTCATATCTTCTTAGCAGTAATACCTAGGCAAGTCACTTAACTTCTCTGAGCTTTAGCCTTCTCAGTGTCACACATTATGCTAAATTGAAGAACTAATTTGAAGATTAAATTAGATAATACATGTGAAAATATTTTACAACTGGGAAGTATCACACAAACTCCAGTTACTCTTTTTCCTTCATTAAAACCCATTTTTCCTGACTACTAAAATTCTTCAAGAAAACTAATTTCATAACATCTACATAATGATGGAGTTTTTATTAAACATACTTTTACCAAGAAATTGATCCAGCACAGCCTCAAAGCTCTATGACAAGATATAAAAGACTAATGTCATCATTCTTTCCAAAATCATTTCAGGGCTGTCTAAATAAAGAAATAGAGACTTCTTTCCCGGAACCAGTCATTGCCTGTGTAATGTGCATTGGTTCACATTAGGGGCATTTTGTTTATTATTTTGGTTGGTTTTTATGGATTGGACAGTAACAATGATAAGCAAAGACATTTCAACTGACAGTTACTAAAAAGCATGCATAATGTCTATTATTTTAATTTTATCTCCTGTTCTATTGACTCATTATTTTCTGACAAGTGAGGGGTTAGAAGGGCAGGTAATATTTTTCTTAGATACTGAAGGATGTTCCCAGAATCAACTAAATAGTATAAAAACAGAGGCCAAGGCAAGTATACAAAATTTAAATATAAATAATCTTAAATACAAAATTTTAAACCCTCACCATTTGACCCACTATCCCACTCCTTGTTCTATACCCAAAGGACTTATAATCAGCATACTATAGTAATGTAGCCACATTAATGTTTATAGCAGTTCAATTCACTATAAACTGTGGAAGCAACCTAGAAGCCTTTCAATAGATGAATGGATAAAGAAACTTTGGTATAAATACATAATGGATATATATTTATCAATGGATACATATATATCCATTGATAAATAAACTTTGGTATATATACACAATGGAATATTTCTCAGCATTGGAATAAAATTATGACATTTGCTGGTAAATGTATGGAGTTGGACAATATCATGCTAAGCAAAGTAAGCCAATCCCAAAAAACCAAAGGCCTAATGTTCTCTCTGATAAGTGGATGCTGATCCATAACAGGTGAGGAGGGGAATGGGAAAAATGGAGGAACTTTGAATGGGCAAAGGGGAGAGTGGAGTGGGGAGGAGGTATGAGGACAGGAAATATGGTGGAATGTGATGGACATTATTACCCGGGTACATGTATGACCACACATATAGTGTGATGCTACATCGAGTACAATCAGAGAAATGAAGAGGTGTGCTACAATTGTGTACAATGACTCAAAATGCATTCTGCTGTCATGTATATCTAATTAAAATAAATTAATACATTTATTAAAAATCTAACCATCAAAAAAGGATATTATACAAAAATTCACTTCCCCCATTAAATTCCCTTGATTTGACTATCTATGTGTAATTGTCATAAAAATCAACTGCCACAGTATTACTTATGATGAATAAAACTGAAGGAAAAAAGAGAGTTGATGACTTTAAGGAATGTTATCTTTCTTTGCTTGTTACCTGTCACTAGGGAAACTAGCCTGAAGTGCAACAGGTGAATTCATCTGAAGAAGGAAGTACTCAGATACTTTCTCATTTAATATACTTCTTTCTGAGAGACCCAGCTTTTTAGAAGACACCATTTAAAAATTGAGTAACATAAATCTACTGCACATTGTTATTGCATTAAAATATAGAATTTTTCATTATAAAAATATCTGTCTCAAAGTACATCACCCATTAAATAAATCTTTTTACTCCTCATTCATTTTTATTATATAAGTCATTGTAACCCTGGGGAAAGTACACTAGTCTAGACAGAATTTATTATTTTTTAATGCAATTTTAAAAATTAACATGTAGAACTAGAATATTGGGGGAAGTTAAAATACTTATTCTGCAGTAAAGAGTGATACATCCAGAGAGAAACAAGAGCAGTAAAACAAAGTAAATAAATGACAAAAGCTAGTCTATCTCACAGAGAGGTATATATAGATTGAGTAGTGAGAGAAATATAGACCTCATATTTTGAAGATGTATTTGGAAAAGCAAACGTTCAAGTTCTTCAGAGAGATTGAGTACCTTGCTTTTTTATTTTATTTAAAAATATCAATGACCCTAGGGGCTGGAAGTATAGCTCAGTTGACAGGGTGCTTGTCTCACAAGCACAAAGCCTTGGGTTCAATCCCCCCTGAATCAAAAGAAAGAAAGGAAGGAAGGAAGGAAGGAAGGAAGGAAGGAAGGAAGGAAGGAAGGAAAGAAGAAAAGAAAAGAAAAAAAGAAAAAGAAAAACAATCAATGACCCTAAAATAACGAAAAAATATTACTGTTATTTCACCCAGGTAATAAAGTTAGCATATAAATCAGTTGGCGCTTTCTGAATATAAAAATCATGTTATTACCTCAAAGAGATATTAACACTCCTATATTCAGTCAGGCATTATTTACAATAGTCAAGGTATAGGAATAACTGAAGTGTCCATCAACAAATGAATGGATGAAGAAAATGTGATTGCATGGATAAATAAAATGTAGTATCTATATTCAAGGGAATACTATTTGTCCTTTAAAAGAAGGAAATTCTGAAATTGGAATTAATGTAGATAATCTTTGAGGATGTTGTGCTAAGTGCAATAAACCAATCACAGAAAGACAAACACTGGATGATTCTGTTAATGTGAGGATCTAAAATAGCCAAATTCACAGAATCAAAGAATAGAAAGATGACTGCCAGGGACTAGGAAAAGGAGGAAATGGGCTTTACTAGTCAAATGGCATAAAATTTCACTTAAGCAAGATGAATAAACTGTAATTGTTACCGCTGTTGACCAGTGACGAGTCCTTGCTTCCCTAATGTTGAAGAATAACACCAGAGAAGCACTCCGAGGCAAGGTCAGAGTAGAAATTAGAAGTTTATTAAAGGACAGCAGAAAAGACTTCTCCCTGAGGAAGAAGGGGACCCAAGAGATGCAATCCGTGGAAGTGCAGTTGTCTCTCCATTTTATAGTTTTTTGTGATGGAATGTAGGTGGGAAGGCCGGAGGGGTGGGACACAGATGGGCCAAAGAAGTAATCTGGGCAGGAAGGATTTAACCCTTCTTTGGGATGGGCTATCTTCAAATCTGCTGGGGCTGTTCATTAACATTTCTTTGGGATGGGCTATCTTCAAATCTACTGGGGGCTGTTTCCTGGACTTCATTAACATTGATTTTCCTGTATTTAATGAAGATCTAATAACTTGAAAATATAAAATGATAATACCTTTCCTTAACATTACCAATATGATGTTTGCATATGTATCTTATTAATAATTAATAAATAATTGAGAAATTAAAATACTTAATTCTTAACACTATATGCATACTTAACATTCATCTTAGTTAATAAAAAACATCTGAATATTTGCCTTTTGTAGATAATCAAAGTAAGAATTCCTGTTTTTTTCCTTTGAAAACCCTGGCAAGAATTCTACATGTACATTCTGTTCTGAGAGTAATAAAGCCACGTCATTGTTGGTTATTTCTAAATACTTTATTCTTCGCATTTTAAAACTCTATATTTAGTAAATCATCAAAGAACTTTGGCATGAAAGTAATGCAAATACTTAATGTAAGAGTTTAGAGAGTATAGTTTCTACCTTAATAGAAAAAATAGCTCCAATGATTTTTTAATGTTTTCTCATGTTTATAGGAGAGGTCTAAAAATAGAGAGTAGTTAAGAAAACTACTTTATTTGGAAAGTATAATTGTGTAATAATAACTTAGAAGAGAAAAAAATACCCCAATTGAAAAGCAAATATAACTAGAAATTAAACCTGAGCCTTTCTTCCTTTTGTCCTTTGTTTTTCATACATTTTGACAAAATGGAAAAGGCACTGATTGGAAGAACATGATGTATCTCATTGGACTAGTTTCACTTCCTTACCACCTAAATCATAATCTTAAACTTATACCTTCCATCCACCCTAGGATTCCTCAAGCTTCTCACAGAGTCATTCAAACCAGGCTTGTTCCCCAAGTAGTCATGAAATATGGCAACAATGTCTAATAATATCCTTGATATTTTAAGGGACTTTCCAAAAACAACTTATAGTCATTCCAAAAAAAAAAGGAAATTTGTATTTATTAAGAGAGAAGATAGGAGAAAGGAGGATCTTTTGCTAGCATTCATTCAAGATACAATGGACATATGCAAACCCCACCTATCATGAATGGCCTGAGTATTTTCTAAAATTACAGAAGAGTAGAAAAGTAAAAGATCTAAGAATCTAATGGAAATATGATAAAAATTTTAATTTCATATTCATTTATGGAGATATATGTCCTAATTAAAAATAAGCCAATTTCCCAAAATATATAAACTTATACAGGCTTTTCCAATGCAAATAAAAATTGTAATCCAAACATAATTTTTGCCCACATCACTCCCATAAGCCATCAATGCCTCCAAAATATCCACTTGAA